GCCAGGTGAGAGTCACTTCAGAAAAGGAAAACTGCTTGCCCTCTGTGGTCTGTGTATTCCCCGGAAGGGATGGTCATCGCATGGCAGCACCTGGCTGGGCCACAAGTACATTAGGTCTTAAAGGCTCAGGGTCAGGCTCTTTGGGATTCAGCCCAGCTGAATTCCATGTGCAGAGTCTGATGAGTGGGAGTAGACTTGAGGCCAATAGGATCGGGTTCTGGTTCGCCAAGTCTTGTGAAATGTAGATGGGGATCTTTTTCCCATTTGGAGGTCCCAGAGAGAATTCCTGGAATTTGGGTCCATTTGATTACTTCGTAGGTCCCTGAGTGGCGATTTGAACCTTCCCAGTGGCACTGTGGAAGAAAGGCCTGGCACTCTGGTTCCATAAAGATTTAAAAAAGAAAAACAAAAACCAAACCTATTGCCATCTAGTCGATTCGACTCACAGCGACCCTATAGGACAGGGTAGAACTGCCCCGTAGGGTTTCCAGGGAGCGCCTGGTGTCCCTAAAGATTACTGTCGAGAAAACCCAATGGAGCAGAGTTCTACAGTGCAGCACACGGAGTCACCATGAGGTAGAATCGACTTGACAGTAACAGTTTTTTGTTAAATTACTTCAGAGTCCCTGGGTGGTGCAAATGGTTAATGTGCTTCCTGCTAACAGAAAGGTTGGAGGTTCGAGTCCACCCAGAGGCAGCTTAGATGAGAGGCCTGGTGATCTACTTTTGAAAAATCAGCCATTGAAAACCCTGTGGAGCACAGTTCTATTCTGAGACACAGGGGGTCGCCATGAGTCGGAATCAACTTGACAGCAGCTGGTCCTGGTGGGTTACTTCAGATGGGTAATCCACGTCATTCTAGGAAGTACAGAAAGCACTAACTCTGGGGCCAGAATTCTCCCAGGAGCCCTGCCCACAGTCCGTATGGACACTGGTTTCTTATATCTGATACAGCCAGCTCACCCCCTACCTTTAGAATAACGTTTGTCTTCCGTCTGCAGTCAACCTTCTCGGTGACACCTCCAGTAATTTGAAATCAGACCAACTGAAATATCCTTCAAGGTTGTGTCTGTATCATTTTAGGTTGTCTCCCCCCATAAGTCCTCAGAGAAGGTGTCAGGGAGCCACACACAGTATAGACAGACTGTGTCTGGAAGAGAGAAGTAGTATCAGTACCTTTGAATGCAGTGGAAGGTCAGAGGAGGCAGTGGATGGAAAACCTTGCATCCCGTATGGGGCCCATAACCATCTCGCTAGAAGGTACTCGGTGGTGGTGCTTACGTTGGGATGTGGTTTTGCTGGCCATTTAACACCTAGAAATGCGTTGAAATTCCGGACATAAACATGGGAGCAGTTGGACAGTGGATATCTTAGTGACAGAGAAGAATCCTCATGCCTCCCAGGCTCTGGACCAGCTCCAGGCAGCAGGTCGGCCCCGCAGTGGTTTTTGTTTTCTGTCTGTCAAAGTCAAGTCTTTCTGGTGTTGCTCTGTTTTGTTTTTAGCACTTTTGTGAAGCCGGTTCAGCTCTGCTCACAGTGACCACACAGTTACTATCGATAGGGTGTGGGCTGTTTGATTTTTAATATAGTTAAGGTCCCTACGAGTCAGAATCGACTTGACGGTAACGAGTTTGAAGAAGTAGCAGAGTCTCAAAATAAGTAGCTTCACCACAGGTTGCTTACTCTGATACCAGCGACGAAGTTGACATTCTTGACGGTCATCTAAAGGGATGTAGAAGCCAGTGAAACAAAGCAGGCGGCCATGGATATGGTGTGTGTGCTTAAAATAGACACATCTAAACCCACTGCCGTCGAGTCCATTCTGACTCATAGCGACCCCATAGGACAGAGTAGAACTGCTCCATAGAGTTTCCAAGGAGTGGCTGGTGGATTCGAACTGCCAACCTTTCGGTTAGCAGCTGAGCACTTAACCACTGCGCCACCAGGGCTCCAGTGACACATCCAGGGGCTTGAAATCCTCGTGGTGGTTGTTAGTTGCCACTGAGTCTGCTGTGTCTCACGATGACCTGATGTATAATGGAACGAAACATCCCCCGGTCCTGCGTCTGATAGTGACACATCTAGGGGCTTACAATTCTTAGGTGTCAGGCAGCAGCCCGAAATTGTAAAATGGTGAATGCTCTTTTGTTTCATGCAGCTTGTGGATTCTTTAATGGGTTAGTCGATCCCAGAGGGAGGCCACGTCCCCGAGAAGGGACGCTCGGATTTCAGGGGAGCCGAGGAGTCTTTGGTTGAGTCAGGTCCCTGCTGATTCAATTACAGTCTGTGGCTGAGATGGCCTAACTTTGTAATTTTGCTGTCTATTTTTAACGCTTTCACCAAAGATGAAAGCCGAGAGAGCAGTGTTTTATGGTAGGAGGAAACTTAAAAAGAAATCCCAGTGTGGGCCTGGACTTGCTTTGGGCCTCTTGAGCTGGCCACCACCCGAGTCTGCACCCTGGCCTCGAGGACCTGCTGCCTCAGCTGCCGGCACAGCGAGGCTGGGCCCAGGTAGCAGGGGCAGCGGGAGGACCTGGGTGTGGAGGCATGTCTGGTCCCTGGTGAAACCCACATTCCCTCTGTCCATACTTAAGGGGGCTGTGAACACCTCGGGGTGTAGGCGTTGCTCCAGGTAGCCATAGCTGAGGCCGCAGCGCTGAGCCATGCCATGCCCCGTCGGGGTTCTGGGGCGGGTTCCAGCAGATGGTCTGCATTCTGGATCGCGTGATGCCCTCACAGCCCTGCAAATGAAGAAGAAAAGAAGGCCAGGTTTCCATGGTGCCTGCGAGGGGCCCACAGGCATCCTCGTCTCAGCCCGACTCCCGTGGAGATGGGAGGGTGGAGCACAGGAGCATTTGCTCAGACACAGAGAAGAACCTTCATGCCACACGCTGTCCCGGCTGCACGGAAAGCACTTGCTGGCAACTTCTTGCTGTCTGACCCCCAACCCACCTGTTACGGTGTGTGGCTGGCAGTCCCGGGGGCCTGGGGACGTGAGGAACAGGGCTGGGAGGTACCGTGGGGATTCGGGAGGCGGATCTCGGCTCTGAGAGTAGCTCTAGATCAGTTGTTGCATTTTTGTGAGCCTGTTTTCCTTGGTCGACACAGTACCATAAACCTGTCTCCCAGGATGCCGTGAGGATTCCGCAGGACACTGTGTGAGGGGCGGGTGGTGGTATTGCTGCTCTCGGGGAGGCTGGGTGGGGTGGAGATGTCACACTTGCTTCCCCATTGTTGGTGCGGCAGGTTTGGGGTCTCTCCTTCCTGGGTCACTTTGCCGTAGTGTTGGGGAGTCACACGAGTTTCAGGTGTTCAGTGAGTGGCAGTCGTTCCCCACCACACCCCACCAGGGAGGTACAAACGCAATGAAGTGACAGCGTCATCTGTCTCAGCACGGTAGAATGTCCTCTGCTGTCTCTGTGGGGTCAGGGTGGCAAGTGCAGGAAAAACAAACAAACGAACCAAACTCATTGCCATTGAGTCGAATTCCAACTCTTAGTGACCCTATAGAACAGAGTAGAGCTGCCCCATAGGATTGCCAAGGCTGTAAAGCTTTACGGAAGCAGACTGCCACATCTTTCTCCTGCAGAGCAGCTGATGGGTTTGAACCGCAGACCTTTCAGTTAACATCCAAGCGCAAGGAAGGCAGACATCTCAGCAGCTGGAGACACACGTGTTGTTGGCAGGATCGAGGGGATCGTCGGCTTCTGTCCTGTGAATGGTCACTGTCTCATCTTTGTCTGCACCTCATGGCAGGGTGTGAATATTCTTCCTGCTTAAGTTTTTTTAAATCGCTTATTTTTTTAAATAAATATGTAACAAAACATTTGACATTTCAACATTCTTCACACATATAGGTCAGTGACATTGATTGTGTTCATCTCGTTGTTCAACCTTCACCACTGTTCGTTCCCAAATTATGCTGTCGGCATGTCATCTTTGCACAGGGATCATGCTAACCTCTGTATCGTTCACTGAAATGAGCACTGGTGTACGTCTTTACAAGCCCCAGGAAGCGAGGCCGGCCAGTCCAGGCTTCCGCCTCCTGAGGACAGCTCTGTGGTTGCTGCAGCCCAGGTTCAGCGCTGCTGGTCGGCCCAGGAGTGGCCACAGGGGAAGCAGGGCTGGGCCGCGTGTGAGCTCACACCTGGGGAAAGGCGGCTAGTCTGGTCGACTGACGTGCTGGCTGTCAGACCTGGTCTCCTCCAAGGACTTGGGCTGCTCTGAAACCCTACAGACTTCTGGGTGCACCATTGAGCTGCAGAGCCAGAATATTCGGGCACGGTCCGGGCATCGTGGGATTTCAAAGCCTGCAGGAAGGATTGGACCTGTGGGCCTTGCAAATGGTAGGGCATAATTCTGGACAGTAGATAGGGGAGGGAGTTGGGGACCTAATTCATCAAACCCTGGGGGCTTTGAGCAAGAGACTAGCATGATGCAGCTGCCCTTAAGAAAATCAGCTGTGGCTGACTGACAGTGCTCAGGGAGGCTTAAGAAGGGGCAAGCTCTGAGAAAGTGACAACATGTCACACCTCAGAGGTAGCAGGCTAGGTGGTTCAGTGGTAGAATTCTTGCCTTTCATGCTGGGGACTCGAATTCAGTTCCTAGCCAATGCACCTCCATCTGTCACTGGAGGTTTGCGTGTTGCTATGATGCTGAAGAGGTTTCAGCAGAGCATCCAAAGTAAGACAGACTAGGAAGAAAGGCCTGGTGATCAACTCCTGAAAATCAGCCAGTGAAAATCCTACAGATCACAATGGTCTGTCTGATCTGCGACTGATCGTGAGCATGGCGCAGGGCCAGGCAGTATGTCATTCCGGTTGTATGTGGGCTGGTGTGAGTTGGGGGCCGACTTGACAGCAGCTCACAGCAACAGCAGACGTAGCAGGAGCCAGGTGTAGGGAACAGGGAGGGAGGGATGATGACAGGAGACGCCATGGGTACCACCAGTCAGATGTGGGTGTGTGGGAATTGGGGGGGGGAATGTTGGGTGAGGTGGGCTGTCAGTACAGGAAGAGGTGCTTGGGGCCTCGTGTGGATGCAGAGAGGAAGTAGATGTTAGGAGGGTCACCCAGGGTGGTGTCGGGCACCCAGAGCCTCTTGCAGAAAGGAGACGCTTGGTAGTCAGGGCGGCCAGTTCAGGGACGCACGGCCTCATCCTCGCCAAGAGCCGTGCCTGCGTGACTCCGGAAAGGCCGCCGAGTGTGCTCACTGCAGACCCAGAGTGTGGGAGGCCAGTGGGACTTCGGGGGGCTGGAGTGGTGGACTTCGAGCTGAGCGGAGGGCCCGTGTATCCCACATGGTGGGAAGAGAGAGGGCGTAGGTAGCTTCTGGCAGCAGAGTGGACAGAGGGCAGGACCCCATGCACAGACGTTGGGTTGAATCACCACTGCCGTGCTGGGCGGTGCTACCACCTGGCTTCCCCAGCCCGTGAGCTGCCGAGGGGCGTTCTGACTGCGCATTCACACCCTGCCCTATTCCACCTGTGTCTCCTCCTGCTGAAACAGCACCTGGCTGCTGCTGAGGCAGAATGATGGGAAGATTAGGGGATATTTGCAGAGTGTAGGCAAGACGTGTGCAGATGAAAGCCACCTTACACTTGTCCCGTGCTGTTTTATAAACTGATCAACTTTCTGCTGTCACAGTGTGGGTGGCAGATACCTTACACTCACCCTGCGTTGTCAGGGATGTGGCGGGAGGGGGTTAAAAGGCCAGGGTCCTCTTGAGTTAGAGGAAAACATTATGTCTCTTTCCTGATTAATCCCACTCCTTTATTTTGTGGATGGACTGTTGAATTCTTTTTACGTGGGTTATAATAAATGCGCAGTTAGAGCCATATGCTTAGTAATTACATTAGGATGTATATTTTGTGTTCTTCAGTATGGTGAGAACTAATTATAGTTGTGGGTTTTTATGTTGAGGAAGAAGGAAAAAAATTGCCTCTGTGAAGGGTGAGGACAGCTTGGGGGCAGTGGGGCCTTCAGGGTTTTACTGAAGCCGGAAGCAGGTGTTTTAATTAGGAACCACGGGCTGCTGGACGTAGGCTAGATATGAAGACTGGGCTTGTTGGCGGGAAAGGAGAATGCCAGTTTAAAATCTCCTGTTTGAAGTCGTTAAAAATACAGATGTGCCCGTGGACACCCCCAAACCTGCTGTCACTTGTTGCTCAGTCCCATGAAAATATGACAGAGGTGTCACATGACTTGTCCAACCATGGAGCAAGCAGTGCTGGGCTTTTCATGTATTAAAGCTACAAAGGCTTATTGAATTTCTAGAGAATAGACATTTTTAAGTTTCAAAATCCCTGGCATTCATGTTATTTATCTAAACCTCTTTATTTTCCATAAATGAGTTTCTTCTGTCCCCTTGACATTTTTTCGGGGAAACCCCCAGGAAGCTGCTGTCCCCTGGTCCTGCCTGAGAGGTGGGAATGTACCCTGTGAGTGAGTAAATCTGAAGCTTCGGCACACCAGCTTGTTTTACCAGCTGTGCAGAAGTGTCATTAGCCAGAGTGCCTCCCCACCGTTTAAACAGAAAACGTGGATTTCACGTCCAGGATGGGTGAGCCCTTTTCCAGGATGCCTCAGTAGTTGCGCGTATGTGAGCATATTTTTGCTTCTAACGCTGGCCCTTAGAAGCAGTCATCTGCATAGGGAAGACTTCAGGATCAAGCTTTGGAAAACTTTGCTGCCGTGAGGGCCTGATGAAATAGCGTTGTTTCCGCTTGTTAATTTGGCAACCCACTTGCTGATTCAAGGTTCTGATCAAGATCTGTAGGAAATGGCAGGCCTGGGGGGCACGGGGTGACTGGGAATCTGGGCGTGGGCAGGTGTGTCAGAGTGGGGTGATTGTGTCGCTGTTTCCTGGGAGGAAGCTGTCAGGTGAAGGGGACTGGGTGGTAGGATGGTGGAGACGGGAGAGCACCAGCTGCTCTTCCTTCTCTTCTTGGCCGTCTTCAGAAAAACAGCAATAATTATACATGCTCTTTAAAAAAAAGAGAAAAATAAAAAAAATACTTCCAGCCACAAAATATGCTGAAGTTCGATTCTGAGGTTTAAAAAATACATTTGATCAGTTATGGAGGTATCAGCATCAATTTTAATTTTCCTGTTGAGTCGGTTCCGACTCATAGTGACCCTATAGGACAGGGTAGAACTGCCCCATAGGGTTTCCAAGGAGCAGCTGGTAGATTCGAACCGCCAGCCTTTTGGTCAGCAGCCGTAGCTCTTAACCACTGCGCCACCAGGGCTCTCGGTATTGGTCATCAGTTTAGCCAGCCTCTAAACCATCTTTAACCCTATACAGAGACCCTCCAGTTTTGCAATTCTGATCCTCTTTATCCAGTTTTTTCTTTATAAGAGTGTGAGATAACAGGTTGTGGGGCCCCAGTTTTGAGGGCTCTCTCCTGCACTATGAAGAGGTAACACACGCATTCCAGAAAGCTCCCTACCTAGCTGAGGACGTCTGTCTGGCTTAAAAATAACAATCAAAAGTAGAGGATAAAATAGTTTTCAAAAAGAGATAATGGAATATTACTCAGCCGTAAAAAGGAATGAGGTCATGGTACATGCTACAGCATGGATGAACCTTGAAAACATTATTCTGAGTGAAAAGAGCTAGTCACAAAAGGTTACACATTATATGATTTCATTTATCAGAAATCTACGGGGGCCGGGGCTCGAGGGGAAGGGGAAGTAACAGTTCTGGGTTTTCTTTTGGGGTAATGAAAATATTCCGGAACTTGGTACAGGTTGTATAATATTGTGAATGTGCTGAACACCACCGAAGTGTATACTTTAAAATGGTTAATTTTATGTTACATGAATTTCACCCAGAAAATAAAAACTGGAAAATGAGACCCCAAGTTTTACAGGAAATCATTCTCGTAAATACGTTGTGTGTCTTTGCTTCTTTTCCCTCCATTGCCTCATGCCTTTTACTTCGAATGATGGTGATTTTTAAAGGATTCACATCTGAAATGAAGAGACAGGTGGTTTGGGGAGAGGATACTGTTTGATGATCGGACTCTGCTAACCTGTGATCCAAAAAAAACCAAACCCATTGCCGTCGAGTCGATTCTGACTCATAGCAATCCTATAGGACAGAATAGAACTGCCCCGTACAGTTTCCAGGGAGCGCCTGATGGATTCAAACTGCCGACCTTTTGGTTAGCAGCCGTAGCTCTTAACCACTGCACCACCAGCGTTTCCTAACCTGGGATAGTGCGTCCCATTTGACTGGGTTGTTTCGTAAGAAAGTGTTGCGTATCTGGGGTGAGAGAGCAGTGAGCTGCATTTGGGACTGTCTGGGCCTGGGAAGTCGGGCCTGGTGGTCAGTGGTTGGGAACCGCTCTGCAGCCCTTGTACTTCCCCTTTATTTCTGGGCGGATGGTTGCACAGCCACCTCTCTCCTGCTTGCACAAGTGTCTCAACGCCATGTTCTGAGCCTGGGTCAGAAAGTCAGCTGCCAGGACCTTCAGAAGTTTACAAATAAAAATTAAAAAAGGCAAGAATTTCTTTCCAGTGCCTTTCCTGAAGTGATGCTCAGTTTATATGGAGGGATAATTGAAGTGTTTAAAAGTTCTTATTTCCCAAGCAAAGATTTCTGAAGACTCCTTTCTAGAAACCGTTGGAAAGTTTCAAGAGGCACAAAGTACAGGTAAAATCTTTTTATTTTATTTTTAATAATATATATTCTCAATTTAGCAAAATTGATACCTTGCAAAAGCCTCAGTGGGTTCCAGCAGAAGGGTGGACCTCCTCCCTGCGTGGTCTTTGGGTGCAGATTTGGACTCGGCGGCGTGCCAGGGTGTCAGCTGGACCGCAGAGAACCAGCTGCTGAGGCTTCCTCTCACTTTGTCCTACTGCAATGGGCTGTCTTTCTTTCTTCTTTCCTTCTTTATCAATTTCAGTTCTCCTGTTGCTTTTCCCTCACCCCATTCTTCTTGTGCCTGTTCTCTGTGTCTTTCTCCACCCCACTAATTCTCGGGCTTACTAAGGTGCTGTTGCTAAGTGGCTGCTGGCTCCTGGCTTGACCGCTTTTTCTTTTTGCGGGGCGGGAAGAAGGTAGTTGCTGTCACCCTACTCTGGATTTGGGTCATTTCGTTATCAATCTTTTCACTTTGGTCCATTCCACGCCACATATTTTAAGTTTTAGAGGAAAGAGAAATTCCAGTTTAATTTGTAAAAACAAAAGGAGAACACCCACCTGTCCCTCATCCTTTTGGTGTTCTTACCTATGTGACTTAAACGGGTCCAGCAAGATTATTGATTCTATTACCTTTTAGAAAGTACAACTGCCAAGATGTAATTTCCATGCTTGACATCATCACTAGGACTTATTTAGCCAGCTTGGTAGGGTGTCTTTTAGTTAGCAGTTTTAGCTGTAGTGAGACTTAATACTTCTGTGTTTCTTGCCTGTCTATATATTTTTATTTAATAATGACATAGTCTGTTGGGGTGGGAGCTCTGTGGTCTTTCTTTTTCAGAATGCTTTATTTATTAGATTGCTTTGTTAGAGTGCTTTATTTATTAAGAGTTTTTCAACCTTTGCCCTTTGTGTTTAAAGTATATTTTCCTGGTTAGTCATTTGTGTTTGAATTTTGTTCACAGATCCCTTTGTTTTAAAGAAATACTTTGGACTTTTTGGAAATAAAGAAATTAAAAGCAAGGACAATTTGTTCCATTCAGTACTATATTAGGTAGTTAGAGAATTCCAGTGTGAAAACCTAAGACAGTCAACTTTTTCCTTTTTTTTTTTAACCTTGCTATCCTAAAACAAATGGAATGGATACATGGAAAAGAGATTATTTCTCTTTTTTAATGAATATGCAAAAAAAGGTAATAAACGGTAAGAAATAGACACTGAAGCCCAGAAAGAGGTTAGTGTATAGAAAATTCCATTATGCATGGCTCCAAACACTAATGGGCTGGATTTAAATTTTCTGTACACTGATCGGATTTTTTTTTTAAATATATTAAAAGTTTTTTATGAAAACAATGTAAACACATAATACATTATTTTAAAAACCGAAACAAACGTAAAAAGTGAGTTTCCTGGCCATTTTCCTTTACCTCCCAGAGGTAACCACTGTGTGTGTGTGCGTGTGTGTGTATGTGTTTAAATCGACCGATATAGCCTCTGTTTATAAAACGCGGGTCACTTTTTGCATGTCCTTGTGCTTCTGCTCTCTGTATGTGATCGGGGTTGTGATACACTCACCCGGACCTGCTTCAGTCTTTGTAACAGCTCTGTCATCTTCCTTAATGTGTTTGTTCAGCCCTTAAGTGAGGAATATTCCCTCACTGCTACTTGTACATGGAGCTTGGCACACCAGTTTGTCCATAGAATTGCTGCTCCAAGCATTGCTAGAAATAGGTGTTGCAATTACCTCTGGATAGTTCAGAATTGTCCCTCAAAGAGATTATTCCATGCCTTCACCAGCCCTGCAGATAGCAATGTTTCACGTTTCTGTCAACCTGTTAGACAATAAATGGGATTGTATTTTAATTTACATTTCTTTCTCACTGGCATTGAGCACCCTTGGGGTTACTTTTGAAGGTGGGAAAGTTTGATAAGGTAGGGGAGAATACAAGAATGCAGATAAATTCCCATTATAACAAAGATTTTTAATATACTATCTTTTACATAATTTACCCTCTCCACAGGTTAAATGTTGGGAATTAAAGCACCAGATTTAATGGCATTTTAAATCATCTCCCAGTATAAGCGATGTGTTTTGACACCTGGAAACACCTCTGCTTACGCGCCATGTATCTGGTCTTCCTCCTGTGGCACTGGCTGCCCCTGAATGAAGTCGTGATTAAAAGGCCCAGAGCCGTTTGTCTCCTTCAGGGGCTGCAGAGTTAACACGGTCCTCCCCACAGGGCTGGCTAGCCGTTTCCTGTAAGACCGCGCTGTCGCCCCGGGCCACTGTCTGGCCTGGGGATTCTGATGGCCACCCTGCAGGTCGCAGCAGGAGAAAGTCAGGGCATGGAGGGTGGTTATTTTTCCGAGTTCTGAACAGTCCGGGATGGGGACTCCTCTTAGGGAGGCGGGATCTATGTAAACGTGTGTGTGCGCACCTGCCATACTCACCTGCCACGCTCACCTGCCATGTGCACCCCAAGAGAGACGATACTGCTTAGATCCAAGTCCAAAGAGTGAACTGATGTCAGGTGAGGTGGTGAGACCCCTTGCGCCTCTCTGGGTCTGGTGGGTCTTCCTGCTCACCGCCTCTGCAGCAGCCCTGCACCACTGCTCCTGCCACCCGCTCTGGACGGCCTGCATCACCCTTGCCCCGACTGGTTATTAGTTGTTTGTTGATTGATTGATGTGTACGTCCATTGCTCCCACTGACCCACTAAAGCCGCAGCTCCAGGAGGCGGGAGTGTGGCTGCCCTTTCGCCGGGGTTCCTGTTGAGCACGTATGTGGCACCAGTGAGTGGTCTGCTTTTGGGTGTGTGAATGAAGGCACTGAAGCATGTGTCAGAGCATGTTGGGACACCGTGTCGCTGGCCCTCCCTGCTGAGGCAGCTGGAGGTGAAGCAGGTTTCCCTGGAGCTGTAGCCCAGAGGTCCCCACCTCCCTCTGTCTTCATCCAGCCTGGCCCAATTCCACATTGTGAGAGTGCCCCATGGAGCAAGAGGGCACTGGACTCTAGGGATCGGTTTAAGTTCTAGGGATCGGTTTAAGTTCTGGGAACACTGGAGTCGACACAATAAACTCTTTGTCCCACTTGCGGCCTGGAGAGTTCCCGAAACCTGTCCCTGATTCCTGATGGGATAAGGGCACTTACACCCTTGGTTTGCAGGGGAGACGTGGGCACCATAGCCTGAGCTTACTGGATGGGAGCCCGCGAGCTGGGGGCAATGGGGGGCAGAAGAGGGGGCAGAGGGGCCCTGGGGTTGGGGAGCCCAAGAGTGAGAAGTATGGGGGACTAGGGAAGACAGGAGGCCTGGGAGTGGGGGAGAAACAGGGGCCCTGGTGCTTGAGGGAGGGGTACGGGGGGGGCAGCAGGAGTCTGAAGGTGTGGAAGGGAATGGGAGCCCAAGGGGTGTGGGGGGAACAGGAGCCCCCAGGAGAGGGGGACAGACATCCTAGGGGTGGGGGACTAGAGCCCCAGGGTGGGGGGCAGTCGGGGCATCAGGGCCAGGCACCAGTATCCAGCAGGGTGTGGTTGGGGAGGGCTGTCATGCATTTCTGCTCCCAAGCATCTTGTGCCCACTTCCAGCTCAGGAGCAAATATGTCCTCAGCTGTCCTGGCGGCAGGGCCTGGAGTGGGGAGAGGGGCACCACAGGCCCCCCATCAGAGGAGAGACTACAGTTAGGGCAGCCCCCAGACAGGCCGTTGGCAGCAAGGCTGCGGGAGCTGATGATGACGCCTTCATAGGCTCTGTCTCTTGAGTCGCCCTGGTCTGCAGATGCCATGGTTCCCCTGTGCTATGGTTAGTGACCGATGTCCCCTCTGTGATCTGCCGCTGCTGCCAGAGAGGTAGTACAATAAGGGAAGGTGAGGCACGGGCTTGCTGCGATGGCCCTCAGAAGGCACTCGGGAGTCCAGGGTGGCCTGCTGTTACAGAGGGCTCCAGCCCACCGTAACGTCTCGGACCTGTAAGTCACAACAGTGGGTCTGAATTTTATGCTGCAAAAGAATGTGCATGCACACACACACATGTGCACACACATGCATGAAGACGCCTGTGTACACATGTATGTATATACATGTACACCAACATACACACACATACATGTTCACATGGACACGCGTACACAATGCCCATGTACACGTGTGCACACGTGCGTGTACATTTGCATACAGCGTATGCACGCACGCATGTTTACTTGAAAATAGTTTCACAGAGTAATGCTTACACCCTTGCTGTTTGCTGTTGTGCTCACAATTTCTTTGTCATGACCTCCCAAACTGCTTCTGGGACCATTAATGGGTAGAGAGCTACAGGCTGAAACCGCTGCAGGTAACCTGTCAAACCCATGCTGTCTGAGGTCAGGCCCCCCACCCCGAGCTCCATCTTCCTGACATTTGAAGTGAGCAGCACACTTTCCATGCGCCGGCACAATTACACGTAAGTGACAGGGTGCCATTCTGCAGCCCTTTCTCTCTGATGAGCCCCTGTCTGCAAGTCTCTAAACCAGAAGGGTAAACATGTCTCACTGTCAAGCAAAGTGCACATCCATCAGGCTCCACTCCCCCAGCAAGATGCCTTTTCGTCTCAAATGCCAGAGACAGCCAGCAGCATGAGTGGTTTGTTTTTTTTTCCCCTAAATAATACTGTGTTTTTGGTGAAGGTTTACACGGTAGTTTAGGTTCCCATTCAACAATTTCTACACAAATTGTTCAGAGACATTGATTAGTCTTTACAATGCGTGAACATTATCTTTATTTCCATTCTGGTTGGCCAGCTAACCTAATTTCCCAGCCACCTTCCCTTCTCATCTTTGTTTTAAAGAAATTGTTGACCATTTGGTCTCATAGATGACTCTTTAAAGGAGCACAGTACTCACAAGTGATATTCTTTATTTTGTGAGCCAGTCTGTAACTGAGCTGAAAGGTGACCTCGGGATAGTTTCAGTTCAAGATTTAAAGGGTATCTCAGGGCAGTAGTCTCAGGGAGTCCTCCAGTCTGAACTGGTCCAGTAAGTCTGGATTTTTTAAGAATTTCAGGTTCTGTTCCACATTTTCCCTCCATTCCCCATTCCATCAGCATCCATCTATTGTGACCCTGATCAGAACGGTCAGTAGTGGTGGGCACCATCTAGTTCTTCTGGCCTCAGGGGAGATGAGGCCATGTTTCAAGTAGACTAGTTTCTTCTTCGAGTGCTGCCTTTAATTAATCAGGGTGCGATTCGTAACGTGGCATCCCATCCAAGATAGTAGGCATGCAGTGAGGAAGAACCCGCGGCAGAAGGGTATCTACATGGGTATGATGTGAGCGTTGCTTTAACCAATTTTTAAATTATACAGAGTAATGCATGCTTGTTGTAAAAGGAAACAATCAAACCTTTCCTCAATGGCAAAACAAAACGTGCAGCCCCCTCACCCCAACACCCCCCGCCCAGCAGCCATCCCCTGGGAGGAACATCCGTGGCATGGACCTTCCTGGCCTTTTGCTATTACGCTGATTTTTTTAAAGAACAGAGGAAGCTGAGTCTTGAGGGACAAGAGGTGGGATCTGATCTAGGACATTAGGAATCTCGTCTTCTGCTGAGATAAATGGAGTACAAACTTGGGTGAAGTTCAAGCCCGGAAGCCAAGTGTGCTTCTGTAGAGGAACCTGTGCCGGCTAGCTGCCATTGGCAGGTGGGTCTGGGGGTCGGCTCTAGGGGAAGGCTTTCTCTCTTAGTGCTGGAGGAAGGTACTTGTTCCTTGGTGATCTTCTTGTGGTATGTCATCTATCTCGCCTCATCTCTGCTTGTATTTCATAAGAGATTGACTCAAGACACACCCTCCACTAATCCTGCCTCATTAACGTAACAAAGACAACCCACTTGTCTACGCCAAGAAATTTGGAAGACAGCTACCTGGCCAACCTACTGAAAGAGATCGATACATGTTCCTAATCCAAAGAAATGTGATCCATTGGAATATGGAAGTTATCAGTATCATTAATATCATACTGAAGATAATTCAAAAATCATTGCAGCACTACATCTACGGGGAATTTCCAGAAATGCAAGCCGGATTCAGAAGAGGATGTGGAACGCGGGATGTCATTGCTGATGTCAGACGGATCTTGGCTGAAAACAGAGAATACCAGAAAGATGGTTATCTGTGTTTTATTGACTATGCCAAAGCATTTGACCGTGAGGATCATAAGAAATTATGAATAACATTTTGAAGAATGGGAATTCCAGGACACTTAATTGTGCTCATGCGGAACCTGTACTTAGATCAAGAGGCAGTTGTTTGTTCCAACAGAACAAGGGGATACTGTGTGGTTTAAAGTCAGGAAAGGTGAGCATCAGGGTTGTATCCTTTCACCATACATGCTTATTCAGTCTGTATGCTGAGCAGATAATCCGAGAAGCTGGACTATATGAAGAAGAACAGGGCATCAGGATTGGAGGAAGACTCATTAACAACCTGTGTTATGCAGATGATACAACCTTGCTTGCTGAAAGTGAAGAGGACTTGAAGCACTGACTGATGATCAAAGACTGCAGCCTTCAGTATGGAGTACATCTCAACAGAAATAAAACAAAAATCCTCACAGCTGGACCAATAAGCAACATCATAATAAACGGAGAAAAGATTGAAGTTGTCAAGGCTTTCATTTTATGTGTATCCACAGTCAATGCCATGGAAGCGGCAGTAAGGAAATCAAACGCCGTATTTCATTGGGCAAATCTGCTGCAAAATACCTCTTTAAAGTGTTGGAAAGCAAAGTTGTCACTTTGAGAACTAAGGTGTGCCTAGCCCAAGCCATGGTGTTTTCAGTCATCTCATATGCATGTGAAGGCTGGACAATGAATAAGGAAGACCAAAGAAGAATTGATGCCTTTGAGTTATGGTGTTGATGAAGAATATTGAATATACGATGGACTGCCCGAAGAATGAACAAGTCTGTCTTGGGAGAAGTACAGCTACAGTGCTCCTTAGAAGCAAGGATGGTGAGACCTTGTCTCACGTACTTTGGACATGTTATCAGGAGGGACCAGTCCCTGGAGAAGGACATCATGCTTGGTAAAGTAGAGGGTTGGCTAAAAAGAGAAAGACCCTTGTCATAGGTTGAATAATGTTCCCCCAATAAATGTGTGTGTCAGTTTGGCTAGGCCATGATACCCAGTATTGTGTGGTTGTCCTCCATTTTGTGATTGTAATTTTATGTTAAAGAGGATTAGGGTGGGATATTAACACCCTTACTAAGGTCACATCCCTGATTCAATGTAAAGTGAGTTTCTCTGAGGTGTGGCCTCTACCACCTTTTGTCTTACAAGAGATGAAAGGGAAGCAAGCAGAGAAATGGGGACCTCACACCACCAAGAAAGCAGCGCCGGGAGCAGAGCGTGTCCTTTGGACCCCGGGTTCCTGCGCAGAGAAGCTCCTAGGCCAAGGAAAGATTGATGACAAGGACCTTCCTCCAGAGCTGACAGAGAGAAAGCCTTCCCCTGGAGCTGATGCTCTGAATTTGGACTTCTAGCCTGCTAGACTGTGAGAAAATAAATTTCTCTTTGTTAAAGCCAGCTGCTTGTGGAATTTCTGTCATAGCAGCACTAAATGACTAAGACAACCCTCAGTGAGATGGATTGACACAGTGGCTGCAGCAGTGGGCTCAAACATAGCAACAATTTTGAGGATGGCGCAGGACCGGGCACTGTTTTATTCTGTTGTTCAGAGGGTGGCTGAGTCATAACCGACTGAATGACACCTAAACAACAAGAACAACGTTGGGACGGGCAGCAGGAGGTACCAGTTTTGGGGGCTTTGTAGGCCCCACAGAGCCCTTGAAAGGCTCAGCTGATAGAGGACTGTTCGGGAGGGAGAGAGACAGCAGACTGCCCACGGGCAGCCATTAGTGACAGTGGTGGGGATGAAGGTGAGGGGACAGTTCCGGACATGGACACTGGGTCCAGCTTGATTTGGTAGATTTGGCAGTGCCTCTGTGGTGTGCAGGGTTCTTGGGGTGAGGCTGGAGCAGCGCAGTGCCAGGCAGTGGTCCTGCCCTCCTGCTGCTGTGCGTGCAGGCTGCTGCACACTCAGCAGGCGAGGATGCGGAGGCAGGCCTGTGCAGGCTGCTGCA